TGTGTGTGTGTGTATGGTGAGTGTGTGTGGTGAGTGTGTGTGTGTGTGTGTGTATTGGTTGTGAGTGTGATGTGTGGAGTGTGGTGTGTGTGTGTGTGTGTGGGAGTGTCGTGATGGGTGAGTGTGTGTGTGAGTTGTGTGGACAGGTGTGTATTAGTGTTGTCGTGTGTGCGTAGTGGGTCGTGGGAGGTGCGTTGGTAGATGTGAGTGAGTGGGTTGTCTGTTTGAGTGTTAGATGTGAGTAGTGTGTTATGGTGATGGTGTCGTCGTTGAGTGTGGGTGGCAGCGCGTTCTTGTTGTGTCCTATGTGTGTATGTGGTGAGTGTGTGGTATGTGTTTGTGTGTGTGTGCGTTCGGTCGTGGCAGGACTTGTGTGTGTGTGGTGGTGAGTGTGTATGTGTATGTGTGGTGGTTGTGTGTGTGTGTGTGAGTGTTTGTGACTGTCGTACCATGGGTTATGTGTGGTGTGTGTGTAGTGTGTGTGTTGTTTTTGAGTGTGTATATAGCATGTATGTGGTGTGGTGTTGTGTTGTGTCTTGTTGTGTTTAAAATTGGACTAGTAACGTTATCTTGATCTGTGTGTGTTGTGTGAGGTGGTGTATGGAGTGTGGTGTGGAGTGTGTATGTTGAGTTGTGTGTGTGTGTGTGAGTGTGTATGTGTGAGTGTGTACTTGAGTAGTGTGTGTGGAAGCGTGGTGCCACCGAGCTGTGTGTAGTGTGTGCTAATTTCGATGAGTAGAGATACTATGTTGTCTCATGCGTTTTGTGTGCTTTTTCCTACCTCCGTCCTTGTGTTCATGCTGTGTGGTGTGTTGGTTGTGTGTGGACGTGGTCGTTGAGGGTGATGTATGTGATGGTAGTTGTGGTTGAGTGTATGTTGTGTTGTTTTGTGTGTGATGTTTTGGAACTTGGGTCTGAGCTAGCTAGCGTTACGTAGCTCCTGTGTGAGTGTTGTATGTGCGTGTGTTGTGTGTAGGTGATTGTGCTTATGTCGTGAGCTGTGTATGTGGAGTGGTGTTATTCATGTTATGTGTGAATAACGTGTTAGGGTGTGTGTGTCGCGTTTGTGTTGATGTGTCGGGTGAGTGTGGTATGTGGTGTGTGGTGTGTGTGTGCTATGTGAGGTGGTGGAGTGGTATGTTGAAGTGTGGGTATGGATGCCTATGAGTAGTGTGGTGGTGAGCTGGATAGGTGTTGTGTGATGCTGAGAAGAGGTGTAGATAGGTGTGAGTGTGTGTGTGTGTGTGAGTGTTGTATGGTTGTGAGTGTGTATGGTAGTGTGTTGTGGTGTGTGTGTGTGTGTGGTATGTGTGGTGAGTGTGTATGTTGTGTGTGTGTGGTTGTATGTGATGGCTGTGTACATGTGTATGTTGTTGTTGTGTGTGGTGTGCTGATTGTGTGTGTGGTGGGTGAGTGTGTTGGTATGTGAGTGTGGTGTGTCTGTGTGTGTGAGAGACCTGATCCGCTGCAGCCTCTGAGCGTCCCTCTCCAGAGCATCGATCAGGAGGAACGAGTCCTGCGCGGGCTCGTAAACCTCCGTGAAGTCTCCTCGTGCAGCGTGGGAGTAAACAGGTGTGGGGTAGCTCGCGGACATGGCTCGTCACTCACTAACAACTGCACGTGCTCCCGTCTCGCCACCGTTTAACCGGGGAAACCCTGTCGGTGGAGACGTCAGACTTTAACACCGCGTTGTTGTTCGACTCTTGCGTCAATTCAACTCAAAACGTCGCTAACATTTCCCGCTAAAACGCGCACATTTCAGGCTCGCGACCGCCCGCCCGCCGCCGCTGCCCTCGAGCTTCACTCACAGCTGACTTCCGTGTGCGACCTACGTCACGGTGACGTACGTTAACCCCTTCTCTGCTGTGAGTGTGTTGAGTTTGGGCTGACAGTTGTTTAAAAGCAGGTTTTAATCTCTCTGAGCTACACATGTGGTTGAATTCCAGACACTGAAGTGAGATGTAACATAAAACATAAACCTCTGAATACATTCCCAGTGTTTATTCATCTGCAGAGCACCGAAACGATGGGTAGCACACTGAGTAGTACTGAGGACTACATGTACCACCGCTGCTGCTACGGACCCTTACCATTGGATATTTATGATTTGCAGTATTTAAAATTCTTTACTTAAGTAAAAGTGGCAAAACCACCGTTAGAAGAAGTTATTATTACGCAGCAGAACTTTTATACATGCCGATAAATGTACCTGAAGTATAAAAGTATAAAAGTATATATGCAGAATGTATTTTATAGTAATACAATTATACATGCACATAAATCCCAGATTAAAGGAGATTACAGAAAAGTATGATATTGTTTGAATGTGTATTTATGACTTCATATACTTTTAATTTTGAAATTCAGAACTCATCACATATTTTATGTGTAAAATCAATAATTATTTATTATTTGGCATTTTTACTAATTAATCGACTAGTTCAAAAATCAAACACGTAGTTCAAATGTAATTTCATCCTGTGTATTTACATTCTGAAACACTGTTTTTAAAAAATCTTGCTTTACATTTAATGCCAGGAAAAAACTTGTGGAAACTACTTTCTTGTCTGTGATTGATATATATATATATTTATATATTGACATATTGTATATGCATGCTGCTTGCTCCATTTTACGGAGCCTTGATTCAGTGTACCACTCGCAGGCAACAGCACTTAAGACTGCATTTTGTCACAATGCACCTTGGGTTTGGAATAATCTGCAAAAAGATCTAAAATCAGACACAGTTACATCCATTGATGAATTTAAGTGCATCATAAAGAATACGGTACCGGAGGCATGTGGTTGTTTCTCTTGAAAAGCCATTGTGTTTTATTGTTATTATGTTGTATATGTTGTATTTTAATATGTTGTCTCTCTTGTAAAAGAGATTATTGATCTCAATGGGACTTCCTGGTAAAATAAAGGTAAAATAAAAAATGTACAGCCTCGGTTTAGAAAGGCTCTACATGAAAACATGATCACCATCGAAAATGAGGAGCGGGAACTCGAGTTTTGTCATGTATAAAGAGTCATTTTTACAAACCTGTATAAAGAGCACACTCACTGGAGACTCCCTGGATTTTCTTCTCAGACTGGTGACACTGGGAGCTGCAGTGTTGTGAGGCATTTGTCTTCTGCTCATTTGTGGACGGCGGTAACGGTTCAATACATTTTATTAATTATTATTATTTATTGAACTAATTCTAATCGTATTGTCTTTCAAAGTCAATGTGTGTTTGTTTTTGTTTTTCAGTTTTGGAGAAATAAACTTTGTTCAGAGGATTCACTGTTTCTGGCTTTTCCCCAACATGCAATATGTTTAGTGAGTGTTTACTTTATATTTTATCCTTATTTTAACCCCCTTATTCCCAAAAAAATCTAATTTTGTATATATATCTTTTGAATAATTGACTTTCAGACCATGTAGAGTTGTAGAGTAATTGTTACTAATATGTTCATATGTACGAGATACATGTTAAATCTAAATGTTAAGATTTGCCCTCCAGTGGTCAGAGTGAATATCTGCAACACTATACAACACTTAACATGAGTTAATATCAAAGAAGTTCAATAACTTATTGTTGATTACTGATAAACGTTCACGTATAACTCATAACTCTTGACAAGAAAGCAAGTGGAGTCAGTTATTTATTTAAAGAAGGTAAATTGCATTTTGAATCTCTTAAAGAGAAATAAAGACTTTTTTCATTCATGAATGGTTACTAGTGGAAAGTGGACTTACCTGAAGACTCTGTCTACCTCTGTGGTTCTTGACTGATCTGGATTAAAAGCAGAGGGTTGTGGAATGAATGAGATTTGCAAGGACAAGGTGGAACAAACTCTTTTTTTTTTATCCCCGGGGGGATAACAGAACTGAATGTATAAGCGTATATATAAAATATAATGCAACCATCAAACACAGAATAAAAACTTCGGCAGATTTACCCTCAAGTCTTGATCACTAAGTAGGTCCCCTGAGCGTAACTGTCGATTAGGAAAAGAACGAGCAGAATTGGTTCTAGCAAACTTGGACATCCCGTGGCAGCTAATGTCCCAGAGCTCCCAGTTAGCGTAATAATCACACTTCTTGGGCGGACGACTATTCTAAAGACGTGCCTTCTGTGTCTCTTAACAGAACAAATGTAGATTAAAAGTCTGTGCAACTGATCAGGGCCCTTACGTGACAACAGCATGCCTTTTTCCAACTCATACACTTACCTGTCGCAATACCCTGTTTTTCCACCGCTCGCCTTCACCGTCAAAGCCGCAGAATAATCGACACGAGATAATGCCTTCGCCACGGAAAAAAGCTTTATTTCCCCCTCCAAAAAATGTTCATGTCTTCCACACACCTACTCTCCGATTTAACACTTTCCTCAACAATCAATTCCATCGCTGCGTTTCCCCTCCAACAAGTGAAATCCCACCGGACTTCAGCGCCTACACCTTTCAGGTAATACACAAAAGTAAGAGAGTGGGAGGATGGAGGTGTTCACAAGGAAGAACTGGAGTAAGAATAAGTGTGTTGATCTACTGTGGAGGAAAAAAATGGTTCGTGTGTTTTTCCCAGTGGGGGAGGGATACTTTCTGTTCCTCCGATCTCCACTCTCTTCTTCTTCTGTGGTTATCCTGAATGTAGCGCATGATGTCCCGTGGGATTTCAATGTTGGAGGAGAAGGCACGAAGAAAGAAATTGTTTGTTGCCAGGAAGTGTGAAAATCGATAGTGTGTGAGACATGAATCATTGTTTGAGGGGGAAATAAACTTTTTTTTTGTCACAAAAAGTCATTATGCTACGTGGTC